ATCTGTTTTCCCAACAGCACTGATGTTTGTTTGACACCCCACAGTGTCTCAGCCAGATAACACAGACACAGTTTGGTCATAGCACAGATAAAATTCTGCCATACCCACTGGCTGAATTGCTTTGGCTGTTTCCGCTGCATTCATTGCCATCTGTACCAATTGCTTCTTAAGTTGCAGCTTGCTGAGGGGATTGTTTCAGTTTATGGTTGTCTATAGTAAACAGTTAATATCCTCTTCATGTCTGCATATTGAAGACAAACAGGGAGAGTGGTATTCTTAAAAACTGTATTACTGACTTTCAGTATACTGTGTAGTCCTGTTGTATTCAATGTGTTCTGTGTAGTCTGAGCAACTGGAGCAACCATACATTTTATCCCACCAGATTTCAAAGGGGTTCTGGTTATAAACTGTTTCTTATTTCAATGTGCAAGTAGATGACAGAGCTTGACTCTCTAGTTACACCTGTGTGTCTCGTGCATAAGATTTGCAGTCAGATTATAAACTATAAGTCTATAGTAGAGAAAAGATAAGGAATGTGAATAATCTGCATGCCATTTGCTTCATTAACATCCCAGCTCTCTTGCCCTGTTTGGGTTGAAATAGAAAGTTGCCTGCCTGATGCTCTGTTATCTCTCAGCTCTGTTGCTAAACGTACATTTAAATTAGGTATGTCAGTCCCCCAGATCGATAATATGTGATTTGACAGCATTACAAACCCAATCTGTCTGCAATAGTTATGTTGATTTAAGCCATTCAAGCTATATGTTGCTGTATGTCACACCAAGAGTTGAAATCATAGAATCATAGAATAGTTAGGGTTGGAAAGGACCTTAAGATCTTCAAGTTCCAACCCCCCTGCCATGGGCAGGGACACCTCACACTAAACCATATCACCCAAGGCCTTGTCCAACCTGGTCTTGAACACTGCCAGGGATGGAGCATTCACAACCTCCCTGGGCAACCCATTCCAGTGCCTCACCACACTAACAGGAAAGAATTTCCTCCTTATATCCAATCTAAATTTCCCCTGTTTAAGTTTTAACCCATAAATGTGTAGTATGAGTGTAGTAATGGGTTAGATCAAGTTTGTGAAAGCAGAGAATAGGCACTGCCTTTTCCTGTACCAAGCATTCAGCCCTAAGAAACTAATGGATTATGCCAAGGCCAGTGTTTGCAAGATGTGGTGCCTGAAATTAAACCTGCTGGGTTTTAAGTATGCTAGTTGAAGATTTTGGTTTTAAACTACTGGCTTTTAGTAATTCTCCCCAGCCTTAGCAGTCTCCTGGTTGCTTTGGTCCCACCAAATCCTAGCAAAACACTTTTTTTCTCAACTAGGATTGGCAAGCTGAAAACTGCAAAGGCCACTTTGCAAAAGATTTTTCATCCTGAACCCAGAGTTTGTAATCCAGAGGTTTTCTGAGTGTGTGTTTTACAATAGTCCCTCAAATCTAATCAGTTTAGGAGCAACTCTGCCAAAGGTCTTTTTCCTCAAGTGTCATAGTTTAAGCCCAGCCGGTAACTCAGAACCATGCAGCTGCTCGCTCACTCCCACTGCCTCCTTCCTCACCCTGCTCCTGGAGAGATGGGGAGGAGAATCAAAAGAATGCAACTCCCACAGACTGAGATAAGAACAGTCCAGTAACTAAGGTGTAACACAAACCACTACTGCTACCACCAATAATAATAATGATAAGGGAAATAACAAGGGAAGAGAATACAACCACTCACCACCTGCAGACCGATACCCAGCCTGACCTGAGCAGCGATCTAGCCCTTCTGGGTAACTGCCCCCAGCTTATGTAATGGGCATGGCGTGCTGTAGTATGAAATACCTCTCTGGTCAGTTTGGATCAGGTGTCCTGTCTCGGCTTCCTCCCGGCTTCCTCTCCTCCCTGGCAGAGCATGAGACTCAGAAAGTCCTTGGTCAGACTAAACATTACTTAGCAACAACTGAAAACATTGGTGTTATCAGCGCTGAAAGCACTGCACCAGCTACTAAGAAGGAGAAAAATAACTGCTACTGCTGAACCCAGGACATCAAGACAGAGTAGTCCTTTCCTAGATAGCTGGCATTTTTGCAACTTGAAGGGCAGTTAAGTTGCTCGAGATGAGAACTCCTTATGCATCCTCATCTCTCCTGCTCCTGTGTATTTAAGAGCTGAGGTCACTCTGACATAGATAAAATCTTGAACATATTGCAGAAATGGGGAATTAGAGGGAGGCAGGAGGGAGTCTTAGACCAATATTTGGAATATGTGCCTGTCCTGTGTTCAGCAGTAGAAGTCATTTTTCTCCTTAGTAGCTGGTGCACTGCTGTGTTTTTGTCTTTAGTCTGAGAAAAACGCTAATGACACACTGGTGTTTTTAGTTGTTGCTCAGTAATGTTTACTCTGACCAAGGACTTTCTGAGTCTCATAATCTGCCAGAGAGGAGGGGAAGCTGGGAGGAAGCAGAGACAGGACACCTGACCCAAACTAGCCAAAGAGGTATTCCATACCACAGCACGTCATGCCCAGTATATAAACTGGGGCAGTTACCCGGAAGGCCCAGATCACTGCTCAGGTTGTCGGTCAGCAGGTGGTGAGCAATTGTGTTCTCTTCCCTTGTTATTTCCCTTATCATTATTATTATTGGTAGTAGCAGTAGTGACTTGTGTTATGCCTTAGTTACTGGACTGTTCTTATCTCAGCCCGTGGGAGTTACATTCTTTTGATTCTCCTCCCCATCCCCCTGGGAGCGGGGGGAAAGAAGAAGGGGAATGAGCAAGCGGCTGCATGGTTCTGAGTTACCAGCTGGGGTTAAACCACAACAGTGCCTAAGTATTTAAGATGTTACTTCTAAATGTTTGTATAGCTGGCAAAGCTTGGCAAATATAAGATTTGCTAATGCAGCTTACTGAAAATGCAGCTTGCTGAAAATAAGGCAGGCCAGCGCCCCTAGGCTAAGGTATAAGGGGAATCACATACCTTTTCCCATTTCCAGTGGGAAAGATGTATCTAAATGTCTCCAGGTTGCTTGGAAATTGCAGCCTTATTCATTTAGCACATTGGTTACTCTGAGGATTCCCTCAGTGCCTCAGCCATTAGGATCTCAAAGGATTTTCATTAGTTGAGGTTTGGGAAGAAGGAAAGAAACCTTGAAGGTTATGTCTCCCCTGGCTTTACCTCGCACAACGTAAGTAAAATAATGGGGAAAAGAAATGTTCATTTTTCATAAAAGTATTCTTTTTCATCAGTTCAGCTGATAATTGGAACTTTATAGCACATGGCTTTATAGATTAATCCTTTCTGGACTCCAGTCTTTGCTGTAAAGACATTACAGTTGGAAAGGAAGAAGACCCTTTGAAAGAAACCACAGGAAAAAAGACAGAGATTTATGCATACATTAAGCATGCTTTGAATACATGCCTTAACAATCCATCATTTCATCTCAGATCCTTAATCAAACTTTGATCAGGAGGCTAATTTATTCATAGATGTTAACCCCACTTCCTTCAGAAGGGAAGATGTCGGAGAAGCCGGCCCAGCCACACAAACACACACATCCAAATGGATATGCAACAATAGTTTGACATTTCCTGTACGAGCTTGCCTACTTGATTAGTTGACTTGTAGTTCCTCCAGGTCTTCCTGCTCATCATGTCTTTCTGTGACTCCGATCCATCAAAGCACTTAAGCATTGTTTTCGATGCTAGTTCCGCACATCTGAAGGTTACGTTTTTGAAAGTGATAAAGGTTTAGGCATGTGCCCAGGGGTATTTTGCACCCCACCTACTAGAAGAAACCGTCAGGCTTTGGAAATGTGTCTTGGCAATTAATCTGCCTCTTTGGCACCTGAAGCAATCAGGGCTGCAGTTGTTCATCTGGCTTTTCGTGAATGTAAGAGGAAAGCTAGTAAGTGAACCTATGTGACAACCAGAAGAATGCTCTACTGTGGTGCCTTTCTTCATTTCTAGGTTGATCTTTGCTAGGAATTCCCCCCAGATAATTCCAAGCACTGGCACAGGTTGCCCAAAGAAGTGGTGAATGCTCCATCCCTGACAGTATTCAAGGCCAGGTTGGACAGAGCCTTGAGTGATGTGGTCTAGTGTGAGGTATCCCTGCCCATGGCAGGGGGTTGGAACTGGGTGATCTTCAGGTCCTTTCCAACCCAAACCATTCTGTGATTCTATAATCAGTTAATAAATCTTTCCCTAATATTTGATTATTTTCTAGGAAGATTCAGTGATCTCATCTCCCGTCTCACTGCTGATCATTATACACTCCTTTGTCTGCTGTGATGCGGAACTGGTTTCAGTAAACCCACAGTGAATATACTTGAGGTCCCCTGTTCTGCAGAGACCATTGTTCAGAACCTTAGCTGGCCACACCACTTGGTGTGGAGCCGGGACAGAGGGACACTGCATGCATGCTCTTGTAAATGCTTTTGTTGGTTTGGTTTGCTTTGTGTCAACATCCGAGGAGGCCTATCTAGGAAGGAAGTTTCAGTGACCGAGACTTTTAGTTTTATAGGGTGATTCTGGGGGGGCTTCCATCTGAAAACATTTTTAAAAGGCATATTAGGGAAAAAAAATTAATTGCTTGCTTGGCTGACTGCTCTTGCAATCACCCCATACCTGTGCACAAAAGAACAGGACTCTGGGTTTGTAGGTTGTTCTATCAGATATATGCAACTCCCAACAGGCCTTCAGTGATTATTAATTGCACAATATGTATAAGCTGCTCATCCTGTTGTTCATTCAACAATTACATGCCTCTCTTTTATATTTTTCTTTGTAGCTTCAAGACAAACCTTTTTCTTCTCATTGGCCATAAATCCTGATGTGTTGCATCGTTTTATACTTTAATGGTGGAGACGACTAATAAGATAATCCATTCTGAGTGATTACTGCACAACTTGTGGAGCCTGACAGTTTCATAATTTCTTGGGATCAGCCCTGAGGACTTTATTTCTTTTCCTTTTATTGCTTTAATTTCTTCTCTTTTTCTTATTAATCTTAGCCTTTATCCTGAAATGCAAAAAAGGCACCCTACTGAAATTCAAGCAATGCTGGGCGTACCGAGCAGAGGTCTGGCTTTTCGTTAATGGAAGAGGAAAACTAGTAAATGAACCTATGTGACAACCAGAAAAATGCTCTGCTGTGGTACCTTTCTTCATTTCTAGGTTGGCCTTTGCTAGGAATTCCCCCCAGATAATTCCAGTCACTGAAACAGGGTGCCCAAAGAATTGGTGAATGCTCCATCCCTGACAGTATTCAAGGCCAGGTTGGACAGAGCCTTGAGTGATGTGGTCTAGTGTCAGGTATCCCTGCCCATGGCAGGGAGTTGGAACTAAATCATCTTAAGGTCCTTTCCAGCCCAAACCAGACTGTGATTCTGTGATTCTCTACCTATTTGCATAGAAGCACACAGCAGTATATAGCAGGGGTAAACAGCAGTTTTTAACTCCAGTGGACAGTGTGGACAGCAGCAGTCCTGTGTCTGGAGATCTGGTAGAAATTTAGGCAGCAGCAGTTATCATAGAAGGTTCTGCCAGAGTCTGAAGAAACCACAGTTCCCAAATTCTGAAGCACCTGAATTACATGGGCCATTGCAGACAGGCAGTGACATAGTCTCTCCATGATGGTATGTGGCAGAAGGATTTGTAGGTTTTTTTTTTCCCTACAACATACAACAGGCATCACAGATGATTTTCCCCCCAGAGTTAAATCTCCCTAAGGCACAAACCAGATGTCCCCATCCTTCCACATTACCCACTGAGTACAACCAGGTCCTTGTGTGAAGGAAGCCTTTCCCATGGGAAGAGTAATCCGCATCACTTCCCCAGCCACTCTCTTATATGCACTATGGGGGTCTTCTCTCCTCCCATAGTTTGTAGGGGCTTCATTTGGGCAGGACCAGGAGAGTGAGAAGATCCTCTGCTGTCCCAGCACTTCCATGCAATATTTCCCAATGCTTTCAACAGTGTCTTTAACAGTCCATTCATTAATCCTATTGTCTGACTCAGTTCTTTCTGGGGTACCCCTCTTTGGAGCAGGGAAGAGTGTGAGGAGTCCTCCCCTGAGGAGGAAGGAGCAGCAGAAACAACATCTGATGAACTGACCACAGTCTCCATTCCCCAAAGAAGGAAGAATCTTACACTTTGCAAATGAAAAGGGAAACTTAACATAGCAGTAACAGGTTTGGTGATTTTAATGACACCCTTCTAAGACAGCAAACTTCAGGCACACACTTAGGTTATGAGGACTGAAACACATGCAATTAAAGTCCTTCAGCTTTGACAGAAGGCAGGGTGCAATGGCTTGTGATATAACAGGATGGTGAGACAGGAGGGTGGGCAGTTGGTGAGATAGCACAGAGATGTTTAGGGTGATCATCTGGATTCCACTGCTGCCTGCAGAATAGCCATGTGGGGGTGTGTATGTAGATAGAGTAGATATATCATGTGTGCTTGTGTTACATGTATTTGAAGTCATCTTTGAATCATAGATAATTCATGGCAATTATCTGGTGAGTAAGCTTTGTCGAAAAATGTTGTTCAACAGTTCTCTGTGCATACATGTGAAACAGAGGAAGAAAATCTAACTTATCTAACTAATCTAACATCTAACTAATTTTAGATGCTGGTAGACAGAATAATATGAATGACATAGCAGCTCTTCATGGGGACAGGCAGGAGAGGTGTGCAATGGCAGCACCCAAGAACACAGAACTCAGTTTTTCCAGTATAAAAATGACTATTTTATATGAAGATTAGAGATTCTTATTTTTCTGCCAAGAAAAAGGCTGAAAAAGAGAATCACAAGATGATAAGCATCTTTTGGCTGCATGAATTCCAGAGCTCTCTTGTGTAACAGAATTGTTTTCCAAGTCCTTTTTGTGTTGCTGCTGTTCTGATTGAGAAGTATGCCAAGCCATGAGAAACTTCAAATGCACCATTTAGTTCATGCTCTGCTAAGAGCTGTGTATCATAGAAAAGCTTTAGACATCCAGCATCTTGAAGCACTTCCAGCCTACATCATAGGACTGAGGTTTGGGTCATGCTCTTGTCCAGTCTAGATGTATATTTCCCAGGCACTGTGGGTTTACAGTTCAGTGAAGCTCATTGCTAGCATACCACCTTGCATTTATCTTCACCTCCTTTCAGTTTGTTGCCCTTCATGCTGTAGAATCGTAAAATCATAGAATGGTTGGGGTTGGAAAGGACCTTAAGGTCATCCAGTTTCAACCCCCCTGCCATGGGCAGGCATGCCTCACACTAGACCATGTCACCCAAGGCTCTGTTCAACCTGGCCTTGAACACTGCCAGGGATGGAGCATTCACCACTTCTCTGGGCAGCCTGTTCCATTGCCTCACCACCCTCACAGTGATCAGAAAATCACAAGACCTGACTTAGAGGCCTGTGGGTTTTTAAAAGAAAAAGATAAAGGAAGGGGAAAGAAAAAAAGTATTATTTGTTTTTAAAGCCATGCAAAAAGAGGGGGAGGCAACAGCTCAGGGAGGTATTTCAGACTCTTGCTATTCATAAGCTTCATTGTCATGGAGTAGCTGTAGTCCCAATGCCTAGCAGTGATGTGTTAGTTCTTGTCCTGTGCTTGTTGAATATACTGTGTGAGTATTAGCCCTCCTGCAACCATAGAATTGTACACTCTGCTGGGTTGGAAAACACCTTTAAAATCATCAATTCCAACCATTCCCCCAGCATTGCCAAGACCATTAAACTATGTCATAAGGGCCTCATCTACATCATCTTTGTGAACACTTCCAAGGATGATGATTCCACCCTTCCCTGGGCAGCCTGTTCCAATCAATGCGTGATCATCCCCTCAGGGAAGAAATGGTTTCTAATCTCCAGTCTAAACCTCCACTGGTGAAGCTTGAGGTCATTACCTCTTGTCCTATGGTTTGTTACTTGGCAGAAGAGACCGACCCCATCTCACTACAACCTCCTTTCAGGTAGTTGGAGAGAGAGATAAGGTCCCCCCAGACTTCTCCAGACTACCCCCCCCCCCCCCGGGTCCCTCAGCCGTTCCCCATCAGACTTGTGCTCCAGACCCTTCACCAGCTCCGCTGCCCTTCTCTGGACCTGCTCCAGCACCTCATCGTCTTTCTTGTAGTGGCAGCTTTGTCACTGTTCAGTTTAGAGCCAAATTTCAGGGATTCTGCTGTTGCCTGGGAGACATGCAAAGGAAAGGCTATGTTCAGGAGCTGCACAGTGAAGGTGCTGGTGCTGCTGCAGGAGCTGTCCAGATGTGAGAATGAGGGAGAAGCTGCATCAGTGCAGGATTCTGACTGCAGGGTCATCCCTCAAAGTGGCTTGAAATAGGATGAAATGGCACCGCTGCACCCAGTGCTGGTGGGACTGCTTCCCACGGTCAGTAATGAGAGGCAGTAAAGCACACGTGAGCTGAATGGCAAAAGCACTGCCAAAACAGTCTTAAAGATTATCTTTGCTTGTAGTGCTGAATTTTCCCATCCATGCTAGTTCTGAGGACAGCAGCATGGCCACAGATCAGAGGCAGAGATCCCCATTGCTCAAAGTGCCAGTAAAGTAATATAAAGAGGATGTGTCAGACACTTGCTGTCTGCTGTGGTGACTCCTGCTTTGTAACTGCATGTGCAGCAGGCAGGGCTGAGGTCTTCCACCACTGCTAGGAAACCAAGTCAGGAACTGATCATATTAGCCAGAAGCTCATTTCTACCACCTTTATACAAAATTTTATTGGAGTTACTCCTGATTTACAGCTGCTTTGCAAGATAATCAGTGAGTTTAACTAAATGCTGTAAGGGTTTAATTCAGCAGTGACAATGTAGCACAGGTAAAGAGGAAAATATCACCAAAACAGCTACTGTGCACAGTAGCTGTGGACAAATCAAATCGCCTTGTTTTCTGAAATACTGTAATATATCTTGCCCTACCCTAGAAATCATTTGATATAATTATTCCAGTTAAAATTAAAACAAACAGCAAAACTCAGCATCTTGAAGTTTCTTATATGGAAAAAGTAGCCTGTTCTTGTTTAACCAGAGATGTCTGACATGCACCTCCTTGTGAAGCAGTGGCTGGTGTGGAGTCAGAGACATGTGCTGTGTTACCCTGTGTCCTGTCCCACCGAGGTTTACACCAGAAGGCTGTGGAGGGACTGACAGGCCAAATCCCATCCAAGTATGTCGCTCCTTCATCATATTTGGCAAGCACATGCAGAATGCCAGTTTTCTCTCTCCATTAGAACGATTGCCAGCACACGCCTGCCAGAGGGCAGAAAGAAGGAGAACACCAGCATAAAGGAGCTGGGGCTGCTTTTTATTTCCTGGTTCTATTCCCCTTTGTTGTACTGCATGCCCCTGTATCTCTTGTCTGCTACCTTCTGCTGCTTCCCAACTGAGGCAAGCTGGTGTGTAAATTCCTGGGGGGGGCGGGGGGTGGGGGTTGGGGTGTCTGAAGCCAGATAGTTTGCATAGCAAATCCATAGAACCACAAACTGAAAAAAGCTGTTGAGCCATCGGTGTTTATAATTAGTTTTTGACTGAAGTCCCAGTCTGCTATAGGGAATGGTTTTATCTCTGTGTATGTGTGGGTGGGAAAAGTAGAGAACTGCATCAGGGAACCAATCCTTATCCTGAGGGGAAGAAAGAAGAGGGTAGTATACTCTAACCCCATGGGATCAAAGGTGGGGCCAACACAGACATAAACACCTTTACACAATGTTCTGTCTCCCTGATTTTGCTTATTTAAATAGTAAATAGTAAGCTGGGACAACAAAGCTTTTAGCCTGCAGATACACACCTTCTTTTCTTTTGGTCAGATGGTGATTGGCAACCCTCAGGTTGTTCAGTGTCTGAAGCGCTGTCCTGGACCTGATGCACTGTGGCATTTCAACAGCTGCAACAAGCTATGTCAGAAGTTCTTCATCACAGCTTGTTTCACAGCAGATTACGGGAGAAATGGGGATAATCACACACTGAGGCATCAAAATCCAGTGTGTAACCTAGCCATGGAATTTCACTCTAGGAAAATGGTTATCCAACTCCCTGAATTTGAGATGTGAGTGGCCACAGGACTCCAACCAAGGGCTGGGGCCAGCCGTTGGGACTCTTTGCTGCTCTGTCACCAGCCCACGTATCCTAGGGAAAAATCTCCAACATTTTTTGTGCCCTGGCTTCCCCAGCCACTGATGGGCTGGAACAACATCTGCCTTACATCTCACAAGAATGTCAAGTGGTTTAATGCATGTTTACAAAAGGATCCAGAGATTCTGGAATGAAAGACATTCTGTAAGCAATAGATATTAAGCAATAGATATATATAGAAATATAGAATAGTTAGGGTTGGAAAGGACTTTAAGATCATCCAGTTCCAACCCCCTGCCATGGGCAGGGACACCTCACACTAGACCATGTCGCCTGAGGCTCGGTTCGGCCTGGCCTTGAACACTCTCAGGATAATTTAAATATTTAAAGCCACACAGAATTCTGCTGACAAAAATGTATTAGATTAGATTGGGATTATAGTAAATCCTGAATAACATTTACTGCTGAAGTGTAGTTTAGTATTTCTTGTAGAGAAATAAAGACAGATTTGATGGGATTCCCTAGCTCCTGATTTCCAGCCCCCTTTTCTTGCAGCAGCCTTGTGGTAAAATGCCTTGATGACAGCAAGCAAGTTTCACCTTGACATTAAAAGGCAGGGGAGATGCTACTCCAGAGAAGCCGGCTCCAGCCTGTTGCTCCAATTCAGTTTTCTTCTGCAATGCTGAAATGTTCTTAGGATCATAGAATGATAGAATAGTTAGGGTTGGAAAGGATCTTATGATCATCCAGCTCCCCCATGGGCAGGGAAACCTCGCACTAAACCATGTTACCCAAGGCTCTGTCCAGCCCAGCCTTGAACATCGCCAGGGATGGAGCATTCATCACTTCCTTGGGCAACCCATTCCAGTGCCTCACCACCCTGATAGTAAAGAACTTCTTCCTTATGTCTAATCTAAATTTCCTCTAAGTTTGAACCCATTATTCCTTGTCCTATCACTACATTCCCTAATGAAGAGTCCCTCCCCGTCATCGCTATAGGCCCCCTTCAGATACTATGAGGTCTCCACACAGCCTTCTCTTCTCCAGGATGAACAGCCCCAACTTTCCCAGCCTATCTTCATACGGGAGGTGCTCCAGTCCCCTGATCATCCTCGTGGCCCTCCTCTGGACTTGTTCCAACAGTTCCATGTCCTTTTTATGCTGAGGACACCAGAACTGCACACAGTACTCCAAGTGAGGTCTCACAAGAGCAGAGCGGAGGGGCAGGATCACCTCCTTCGACCTGCTGGTCATGCTGTTTTTGATGCAGCCCAGGATACAGCTGGCTTTCTGGGCTGCAAGTGTACACTGCTGGCTCATGTTCATTTTCTCATCGACAAACATTCCGAAGTCCTTCTCCACAGGGCTGCCCTGAATCTCTTCTGACCTCTTGCCTGTTTAGGCAATACTAAAATTATTTCCTGCCAGCATATATTACTTTGTCTTTCCAGTAACACTGGAGTCTAGCTGCAGCAGCCCTTCTCAACCTACCCGCTGAAGGTGAGCATGAGGCTTACTTAAATCTCCTTAGATCATCAGTTTTCAGTGATGAACGTGAATAAAGGTATTCAGGGGGAAATTCCTTCCATGGCCAGGCATCTAGGCTTCTTCAAAGTGTCCACTGTCTGCTGGTCTTTGTTCTACACAACATGGGAATACCAAGAAGCTCGGAGCTTATATATGGGAAAGGCAGCTGGAGAGTGCTGGGGGGGAGGTCTCTTACCCCTCAGTACAGGGTTCAAAGAGACTCACTTTGTTTTGCTGGTGGACTTGGAGATTGTATCTCGCACATGATGGAATCTAGTCTGTCATGGAGTGAAAGAGTCCATAGCAAAGCCGTTTGCTCTAGACATTGATTTCCCAGAAGAAAGGCTGGCTGGACTCTGGCATTCATCTTTGTTGGCTTAAATGGGGCCATATGGTAGAAGTGGGTTTGGAAACTTGGCAAAATGCAGAAAGTTATTATCTGACAGTTAATTGGCTATTTCTACCTTTAGATGTTTAATTTCTCTTTAATGAGTGTGGGGAAGTCTTTGCAAAGAGACTTGCTCCCCCTCCCAAGATAAAGTTGAGTAATTTCTTCCTAAACCATTAGTGGTTTTCCAGGAGAAACCATCTCTGTGCAGTTGGACTCATTAACCGAGTTGTGTCCTGGGGGCCAGGGAAAAGCTGTATGGATGAAACAAGTAGAGAACTAAAAGAATCTGTGTATTTAATTTGCATATAAGTTTTCACATCTTCTTAAACAGTGAATGAAAAAATGTTCTGGTTACCACTTAAGGTGGGTACTCAGAAGCATTAAATAATTCTGTAGACAACAAATCAATGTGCCCAATAAGTATATCAAAGCAAAGCAGTTATTACTACTAGGCCAAATGCATGGTGTCCACCCACCTTTCATTCATTGCCCGCAGGCATGTAAGTACTAGGAAGAGGGCAGCTGTTAACTTGTGCCAACTTGCTTGAAGATGTCACTTTGTGATGAATACAGCATTGCACAGTAGGTGGCTGTAATAGAAGGCTGTAGGCTTCAGTGGCAAATCATCCACTGACTTCAGGGATGCCGAGATGAATTGTGTAAGCACGTTGTAAATTGGTCTCCAAGTCATTACACGTTGCTCCATTCCTACCAGAACGATTCAGGAGTTTAGAGTACATAACAGTGAGGCCTGTATTTTTTTTTTCACTTTTTCAAAGTGAGAAAGAAGTCAAGGCACTTTAAAACACAGAGAATCATAGAATCACAGAATGGTTTGGGTTGGAAAGGACCTTAAGGAAAAAGCCCAAGGCTCTGCCCAACCTGGCCTTTAACACTGCCAGGGATGGTGCATTTACCACTTCTCTGGAAAACCTGTGCCAGTGCCTCACCACCCTCACAGTAAAGAACTTCATCCTTATATCTAACCTGAACTTCCCCTGTCTAAGTTTGAAGCCATCACCCCTTGTCCTCTTGCTACAGTCCCTGATGAATAGTCCCTCTGACAACCTTGTAGGGCTCTTCAGATACTGGAAGGCTGCTCTGACGTCTCCATGCAGCTTCTCTTCTCAAGGCTGAAGAGCCACAGTTTTCTCAGCCTGTCTTGAAATGGCATTGTGCAATTTATAGTTACATCTGAGCTGAAAAGGTTTCTAAACAAATACTAGCAATGAGCATTCAAATGACAGCCTGTTTAGTTGGCTGTGTGGCAAGTAGAAAGCCCAAAAGGGATGAGGTCAGGTGATAAAAGGTTTGGGAAGTCAAAAACCAGAAGTGTGAGAAGGCTCAGGGAGTTCCAGCACCTCTAATGTGGGAGAAAGACTGAGATGATCTTAAAGTCCTTTTCAGCCCTAACTATCCTATGAGTTAGGATGATCAACTACTGAAACACTTCTGTGGCCATTCTGTATTTCAGCTAGCTGGCTGATTCTTTCTGACATTTGTTTAGCACTGGACACTCTGGAAACTAGCAAATACATTTAGCCCAATCCAACGGTTTGCTTCAGGCTGAATCCCAGGCTGATGCTTACAGCTCCCCAGAGAGCTGGGATTTTCCTTCAGGGAGTTCAGCCCCTCCTGATGTATCTCGCCCATGGGGAGATATCTACAAACTCCTTACTACCAGTATTGTATTAAAAACAAGAGAAAGGAAAACAGTAAGGCAGTAAGAGAGTTCTAGTGAGATCCTAGGGGAAAACTGTTTATTCCCACATCTGGTTTGCAGATCTGTGGTGGTCCAGGAAGCACTTCAGAGTGGTCTTCAGAGCTGTTTCCATCACAGGGGTAAGTAGTTCTCGAGCACTACCATTTACCCCTAGTTATAACCCGGGCTCTGTGTTAAGTACTGAATGGATGGGGAGATGGCTTGGGGCCTTGGTTTTGGTTTGACAGACATGAGCTATGTAGGACCACATTTAGCCAGATTTTCTAATGTTTAGTAGACTTCTGCACCTCAGTGAATCTGTATGGCTTTCAGAGGGACTGTTGAGGAATTGGGAGCTACTCAGCATTAATCAGGAAGTCAGAATCTGCCCTCTAAGCTGAAAGAATGACATCTATTAAAAGTAAGCCTTTTTGTTTCACGTTTTCACAGCTTTTACAACTGGAACAGAAACGTCAGCACCTCAAATTCCAGCCCAAATTGCCAAGTGATTGCAGAAAATGCCTGTGGACTACTCTTCAAGAGCGAAAGTCATAGGAAAATAGTAAATGTGGATTCCAAGCTAAATGTGGAGGTTTTTTTCAATATTCTGAATTGCCTTTATGCAACGGAGCTTGAGTGCTAAACTGTTGAGTCCAATTGTAAACATTGTCTTTACCAGTACACACCTGACATTTCAGGCTTACTCAGATGTGCTATTCCCCTTGTTCACACAGCTGTCAGGATAAACTTAGCCTACCTTTGTTTATGACTGAGTGTGTCAAGGCCTTTCCCTTGTGATGAGAAAATTCAGAAGCTGAACTGACTGATGAACCTGAAAGATTTCCAAATCAGGGTTTCACATCTAACCCTAACCCTTTCCCTGCCTTTCTTCATTCAAACTGGTGCTGTTGCTGCCAGGATAGGCTGCAGGCTGAAGCTCTGTCCTATTAATTGGTTTGCTGAGAAGTGCTGAGGAAAGGGAAGCTTGGGAGAGGAAATGGGCTGAGTGGGAAAGCAGGACTTACTTCAAGATGTGATGAGTGAAGCATGGGAGAAGTACATCCAGTTTGGAAAGACACTGTGTTTTACTCAGAGGATGACACATGCGCCTCTAGCTAAAAGGAAGAATTGCTAAACTGATGGCCACACATCCCGGGGGTGGTGGTCTGGTCCCTGTATTCTTAAAAATCAAATTATTATGATGAAACATGCCTGCAGGTGGATAAAAAGAAATAAATATTGGATTAAAATAAATAACTATTAAGCTTCTTTGAAACAAGAGCTGCAACTTGCAGGAACTGTAATATCTCAAATCCTGGCATGGTGTGTTGAACACCAGGAAATCCACAAAGCAGAATCAGTTCCTGCATGTGAAGCGTGAGCCATCTTCTACCCCAGCACTTCATGAGCAGTGAACTGGAACTGGCAGAACTCCTTTCCCAGCCATATGCAAACTTTATTATTCCTCCTGAATACAACAGATTTGAGAGGTTCTGAGGAAGGCTGCTCCATGAAGGTCATTTAGTTCTTGTAGCAGCTTGTGATTGTCAGTGGCAGACAGGTTGAATTTTAACCTTACCCCTCTCAAAAGAGACATTTGACGCTAGATGCATCTTCTAGTGTGTGTTTCTACAGCACACAGTAAATGGTTCAGAAGGATTTACAATTGAATAAAAGAAAATAAAATGCTTGTGCCTCAGTGGTGTTATGAACAGGATGAATTTCATGGACTCTGTTTCTCTCATAAATGATTAACAGCCCAAATGTATGCTTGCTTCACCTGAAAATGGCTCTGACCCTATCCTTGCTCACATGGATCAGTCTCTACCATTTCTTTACATCGTAGCAGTTAAAGCCAAAGAGAGCAAATGCTCGAGTCATACCCAGGCATCCCATTTTCAGCCATAGTTGAAACCTGATTAAATTGCCATGAGTATTTTCTCTTTTATGTTGAGAGCTGAATGGGTAATAACATTGCAGGAAGCATCCCTCTGTAAGAAACCAATCTCTGGTGCTTCTCTGGTGCCAAACGCACATCCCTAAACTTTACAACTGAAGTCCTTGGACTATAGATTGGATGTGACAAACACACCCAGGCTTTGGTTACTCTCAAAACCAACATGAACTAAGCTGGGCAATAATTTGTTTGGGTTTGTACAGAACTGATCTAGGATGATGGTTTGTTTGATGTGCTTCCCATGAAAAGATGGTTGTGTATTAATAGTAGTAGTACAAAATATCAAACTATATGCATTTCAAAATAAGGGCATTGGTTTGTTAGAAATTCGAAAATGCATACCTAAAAATGCGTTTGGTTGCATTGAAAGTGGGCACCAGTCCAACTTCCTGCTGCTGCACAACATCTGCTACAAACAACCAGCCCTTGAGCCACTATGTGAAAGATCCTCATGTGTCAAAAGCCACACCAACAAGCATTTGTGCATGTACGTTGTGTTCCTCCACAAGCTGCAGGGCACAGGCCCATGAGATCCATCTGGCTTTGTCTTCTGTAACACCCACTGGTAGAGAAGCAGCTTTTGAGAAGTGCTTGCTACAGCCCAAACTGAAATTGGCAGAAGTTCTTTCTCATGCAGTTCAGCTTGAGCGGACTTAGTCACAGCCACATGATCATCCAGTCTACTGGTTCCCAGCTGTACTTAGCTAAAAGAACTCCATTGCTGTCCTTGCATCTCCTAAAAGCATTGCAGGAGAAAGAAACTGCCTGGTGCCAGGACATGAATCTGTACTGAAAAATCCCTCCCCTTAGAGCTAATTGCATTTGTCAAACTTTATGTTCCATGTGAAGAAGAAGAAAATTTGTGACATTAAAGCCCATGTCTCTTCTTTCTCCTGACTGATTATCTGTAATATTCCATGTTTCAGGCCTAGCCAGGGAACAACACAACATGGATGCCTGTTGGAACAGATCTCTTTGTCACATAGTTCCTCAGCAACAGGATGTTCTAAAATCTTCCTGGGAGACTTTTTTTCAGGTAGGCCTAGACCTCTATTGAACAGCTAACACCAGGTAAGATGGACCAAGTCATTCACAGGGTATCAGGAAGAAGTTGTACCAAATAGACCAGTAAATGTAAAGCAGTCTGCAGCATTTCAATTGCATGAGTGGTTCCTTGAAGGCCACTTTTCATCCGTTCCTGCTCTTGCTGCTGTTCTAGTAACAACTTGCCAGAAGTTCAGGCAAGCAATGAAATGGCCCAAAGGACTCCCTTCCATTCCTGAGGCAGTTGGGGAATATTCCTGTACCTACATGACCCAACCAGTATAACCACCAGTGGAGCTGTCTGCTGACTGGAGAACTGGGAAGCCACACAAAACTATGCAGCAGAAAGAACCAGCAGGAAACAGAAGCAGTCATTACAAAGGAAAGATAAAGGACGTGGAGATGAAGGCGAAGGAAGCAAAGGCAGAAAGGGCCTGAATAAAATTCCTTGGACCTTGTTCTTTTAAGGGATGAGGTGATATTAAATGATCTTTTCTGGTCTCAGTACCATGCATTTGCGAAAAGGACAAGTAAGGCAACTCAGACAAGAGAAACAATGGTAGCAGCACTGCTGGGCTCACCATAGGGTGGGGTTTATCTGCCAGCCTCATCACAAGCATGTTCCCTTTGGAAAGGGCCAAGATCCTTGGCCTTAGCAGTTGGCGCATTAAAGACCCCTTTACTGCAAGAAGCAGGAGTGTTCCAACAATCACAAAGTGAAAGTTGTTACTTCAAAGCTGCAGTAATTTGGGAGAGAAGCGTTGTTTTCTTTCCCATAAAACATTTTATTGTTGTGAAGTTCTGCCATTTCCAAAATATCGAGAGCATAGTATCCAGAGCATAGCCATGCTGCTCAAGGTCTCGGGCCTAGTTCCCCACAATAGCCGGGTAGGCAGAGCCCTCTAGTGTGGACGGAGCAGATGCCGGCAAGAGCACAGCTCAAGGGCTAGATACTGGCTGTCAAGGATTTTTATGGCCTTAAGGCAGAATTGCCTTTATAGTGAAGCTTAGCCTTTAGAATACATATTTACCCACAAAAAAAATCCAAGCTCCTGAGCCATTTTACAAACGTCAGGTTTTCCCTCTCTCAGGTACTGAAGAGGGAGAAATCCTCATTGTGAAGGCTGGTAGGAAGGAAATCTGATGGAAAGGGTATGAATTATATTTTTCATTTCTCTCAGCAAATGAATAGTCATTTTTTTTTTCTCAATCAGATTTTATAGTAATGTTAAAAAAAAAGTTGGAAAGACATCCCTTGAGTTTGGAGAATGTTATCTCAGAACTGTAATAAATAAATATCATGAAGTAGAATTTAGTGAAAGTAAATTTTCAACATTAAAAGTTATTTCCATGAATTCAGATTCATTTTTTTTCATATTATTAATGAACAACCTTGATTGGAAAGAACAGCAGGAAGTCTAGGGGAATCCTTTGTCTGCATCTGCAGGAAAACAAAAGGAAATTTGGATCTAAGTGGTCTTTATGCGTTTTCAGGTCAGTGCGCTGTGTATCTCTAAAGACAGGTAACTGAAAGGCTGTAAATGTAGGAAGCCTCATCTTTTGCAATTGATGCTGACCTCTTATGGAATTGTCATTTCATGCTGTTTCTGACTTGGGCGATAAACATCATTTGTGACAGTATCTGTGATGGAAAGTATGGTATTCACTGAGTAAGTCACAGAATTACTGGCTGTACAGTAAACTCATCTGATTCCTTCTCACCCATGCTTGCCTGTGAGCTAATCTCCCAGTGTTCTCTGCCTGTTTTGACATTCAAAACCCAGGACCCCAGAGCCTTTTCATAAATGAAAGTTCCCAAGTTAACATGTTACATTTTTTTGCCAATCCTAGTTGAAAGAAACTCTAGCCTCTGCTGTGAGTGCAAATCTGTCCCCAAACACTCCTGTAAACTTGCATTTTAAAGAAAAGGGTAATTTGCTTAGACAAACAGGATAGTGCCTAAAAGCAATTAAGTGCTATTACACTGAATTTCCCTAAAACATCACTGCTGGTTTTTACCCATATCTTGTTGCTAATTAGCCGTGGGTAGACACAAGGTGAAGTGGACATGCAAAACAAGTGCTGATCAGAACGGAGGTTTTCCAAGGACTGATAACCTCATGAAAGCTTCCTGTGGGTGTTCTTGGGCTCTGGAACTTTTTAGCAGAACCAAATGCAAACCGACCAGCCAGAAATAATTGCCTGCTAGAAATGGAAGGTGAAGGGGAATTTTTTCATTCTGTTCAGTAAAAAGGCTCTAGTGTCATCGCTGCTTGTGACATTGACTGCAGCTACAGGTTTACACACTTCTGTCAGGTAGGCAGTAATGGGGAAGAGCATCCTTGCAAAGGATCCCCAGAACTCCAGGTTGTGTGTGTTTTCATCCAGCATATCCTCAACATAAGAAGGACATGGAGCTGTTGGAGCAAGTCCAGAGGAGGCCACAAGGATGATCAGGGGCTGGAGCACCTCCTGTATGAAGACAGACTGAGAAAGTTAGGGCTGTTCAGCCTTGGAGAAGAGAAGCTGTGTGGAGACCTCAGAGCAGCCTTCCAGTATCTGAAGGGGGCCTACAGGGATGCCAAAGAGGGACTCTTCACCAGGGACTGTAGAGACAGGACAAGAGGTAATGGGTTGAAACTGAAACAGGGGAAGTTCAGGTTAGATATAAGGAAGAAGTTCTTTACTGTGAGGGTGGTGAGGCACTGGCACAGGTTGCCCAAAGAAGTTATGAATGCTCCATCCCTGTCAGTGTTCAAGGCCAGGTTCTACAGAGCAACATGGTTTAGCGTGAGGCGTCCCTGCCCATGGCAGGGGATTGGAACTAGATCATCCTAAAATCCTTTCCAACCCAAACCATTCTACCATTCTGCTGGCAGGTTCATGAGACCAAATCCTGTGAGAAGAGACAAGGTTTCTCTGGAGCAATGGCTTCTGCAGAGGATAACGGCTCACCTTAGCCAGAGATTATGGGTCTTGTATGAGGAGCTCTGACTGTGGGGTTGGAAATGTGCTGCTGGGAGCAAAGATGGTATCACTGGCTGTTCAGAGCAAAATACACAGAAACCCATGTGAGACAGGCAGACAGATGATGCAGAGGGCTGGTGTGAGCCAGCTGAGGTGAAGCTGGGCAGGAGGAGAGGGTTTGCCAGGTGACAGCAAGGAGAGTGGGATGTAGGAGCCACCGCAGCGAAGACTGCTTTTGTAAGTAAATCCTGGAATGCCTGAGCAGCTAAATAAGCACAAGTGTGGGATTAGCCTTCACATGCTGAACAGATTTTACTAATATCACTTTGTTATGCAAATATGTAATTTTTTCATATCCCCCAGAAGGAGTATTTGTGGTTTCCTCTTCCCCAGGACTTCCAAATGCCTGCACAGAGGGAACAAATAACTGTCAAGTTTACCAGGTATGTGAATTCCAGGGCAACGCTCAGAAAATGTGGAAACCTGGAAGTTTTTGGTGAAGATATTAACTAGCACTTTGGAAAGGGGCTGCTAGAAGGTAGTAAATCTGTCCCTCACAATGGCACAGGAGTTGCTCATCATTTAAATAAACTGAATTAAGATTGAAGCTTCCTATGTGCCTGGGGCTAAGGAAAAAAAAGGCTAGGTTGCCTCACAAACCAGAGTCTCTGTGGTGGATTAGGATGGAGTTGAACTACCAAGGATCTGCTGGGACCCAGCAGAACCTGCAGACCTGCCTGGAACTGTGCTGGCTGTAGCTCAGAAGGATGGCGTTTGTGGATCACCTATCCTTGCTGACCCTCTTTCTATAGTACTGTGGTAGAGTAAGAATAGGTGGGTGATCAGCTTGGAAAGTCCAGGTCTGGCCAATGGTAAGGCAAGTAACTTTTGTGTTATTAAAAGGGAGAAAGACAGTTGGGCTGTCTTACAGGTAGCCAGAATGTGAGGTAGTTTGTTTGGTTTTGCTTCAAATACTTGCAAGAGCATCTGTAGACACGCACACATATTGACAATCATGCACCAGCTGAAGTTTGGTGCCTGCTTCTAAAGCAGCATTGTTTGACTTTGCATTTTTCTTGTTTCTAAACAGAAGGGGAGGGGAGGGCAGGGAGAAAATAAAAGTTAAAAGTTACAGCTTAGTCTGTAGCAGTCCAAATTGTTTTCTCAGCTCTGCAAATGGAAATCTAGGCTTACTGCACTGGACTCCATAATCACACTGGTGTGCACACAGGCAGTCTCATGTGGTGGTGGTGGTGATGATTCTTTTTGTTGGTCTGTGTGTTTTGGAGCTTTTCATGGCCCTGCAGCTGTTTTGTGCAGAGACCTGCCTTCCAAACTGACCAAGACCTGATTTGTACATGTGGACCAGCATGATTTGTATGCTGCATAGAAAGGCAGATGAGTTTATATGGATGGTCCAAAGAAGTTATTTAGGAAGTTGGACAGTGTTTTGAGATGTACAGCCTGTCAGTGTATCATCCTGAAATGTTTGCCTTGTTTTTATAAACACAGAAAACACAGGTAAGCTTTTACTCCATGTTCATTTTCATGGTTATGCCGTTGAGCTGCTACGTTTGGCAAACCAAGGCAGAAAAAAGGGGCAGGGAGAAGAATAGTAAGAAAGGAATGCCACATTTAATCATCTCCATTAAAAATGTAAAATATGTAGATTGGTTCTGCACCAAGTTCAGGCTAGATCTCATCCTGCAGAAATAATTTGTACTGCTGTTGCATCAATATTAGGGCTCGACACATTCCTTAACCCTTCTCAGCCTTTTAAATGAGTTGTTCTTCTTTTAGCAGTAGAAGACTTAAGAAGCCAATCTTCTTGCAGGTCAGCTGTCACCAGAGGGACACACGTTCAGGAAGGAGTTCAGGTGTTTCATTCCTTTGAATTTCTCTTTAGGCAGAATTGGGATCTATTCTGCTGACAGCTGAAAAGCTGAGATGTTAGATTTCAGA